AATGAACGTCAGACGTGACAGAGACGAAGCGGGGATACGTTTTTTTCCAGCTAATATTTTGATCCGTGCACTGTGCGTTATTTCTTCCTGTGACCCCAGAGAGAGAAAAAAAGAGAGAGAAATGAGAGAGAGAGAGAGTGAGAGAGGAAGAGGGAGAGGGAGAGAGAGCCCGATGAAAAATCCATCCATTGACAGAGTCGAATTGTGCTTGCGGCAGACGCATTTTTGCGACGCGACGCGGCGTGCAATTACCATTCTTCCGGAAAGTTACGTTAACGCTTAAGCAAGGCGCCGGCCGGGACACCTAACGACCGGCAATCAGGATCCAGGGAAGGACCGCCGGCGTCTCTTCGTCTGCGCTCCTTCCCAGCCGTCCATTTTCCCAGCGACGCTTCCTCTCTCGTTCCTCCGCCTCTTTCTCTCTCTTTCTCTCTCTTTATTTTCCTCTTCCTCTTGTTCTCTCCTGTCGCTCTTTACAATTCTTTGCGAAACATTTTTTTCACCCTTTTCATCTCCCTCAACAGCACCCTGCCCATCCCGCCCTCCTGCCCCTCCCCTCATTCTCGCGGCGTCCTCCATCCCGTCATCGTTTGCATAAAGTGAGCTATCCGCGCTTTTAATATACGCAAATGAAGTTACGCGCCGGAACTAATCATATTTGCATGCGGAACAGCAATCTCCTTTGAGCCCTTGTCATACTTATTACTTCAGTTTAGTCGCTAGAGAAAATTTTATGACGAACAGCGCCGGCTTGCAGCGCCGAGGACGATCAGCGATTGATCGTTCTTACTCGGAAGGAGATCCGCATATTTCCTCTCTTTCTTGCTCTTTCTCTCTATTTTTCTTGTCAGCTGGATGTGTTTGGTGCTCCAACTTTCTGGTCGTCGCACGTTAATTCACTTACTCAAGATTATCGACTAATAATCACACGCAAAATTACGTTGTAATCGCGACGTATCGTCTGCCTTCACGTAAATCGATACAGATATCGATAAGAGCGTACACTACATGATAATAAAGTTAAAATCAATAGAATTGGTTAATCGGGCCATAATTGGAATAAATTTCGATTCAATAGCAGTATTATTGAACCTAATACATCATACATTGTTTTAACAACTTGAGCATATTGAGTTCAATAATACTGCTATTGAATCAAGGAGATTTATTGCAATGTAGCGTACAACGGCATTTTTCACATTTAAGCTTCAGAAAAGCCTCAAAAGAATGCTGGACATAACGCAGCTATCCTATTTTGCATTGTTTATCTATTTGATCGTACAGAATTATAAATGCTTATACAGACAGAAAGTATGAATACCAATGAATGGCGAAATGTTATACATGTTATACAAAAAAAACGAACAAAAATTTAAATAAAAAGTATTTTTAATTTTGTATACAAAATGAAGTATTTCGCCATTCATTTATATAACATTTGTATTTTCGCTCTGCGCGTAAGCATTTGCAATTTTATTCAACCAAATATAGAAAAATAGCGCAAAATACGAAGCTGCATAACGCCCATCATCCATTTAAGGTTTTATCAAAAACAAAAAGGATTTTCGTGAATAAAACATTCCTTTTAGTCTTTTGTATTAATACGAGATATTCCGCCATTCATTGACATTTGTACTTTTATTCTATGTAATAAGCATTTGCAATTCCACACAACCAAATAGAAGAACAGTACAAAAGTACGAAGCCACATTGAGTCGATCTCCAGCATTCCCTTAACAGTCCCCAGACCAAAACTCATTAGTCTAATCGTTCGACATCATGTCTGGATACGCGTGTACGTTATGACTGTCGATTATGCGACCAATCTGTCATTTTGACTGCTTCGTGTCATCATATATCATGTATCATACCGTATTATATTATATGCGGACACAACAGGAATAATTAGAAAGAGCAGAACCAAAGAAAGAGGGCCGTATTAACTTAAAACTTGTCTCATATAAAATACTCAGATTTTTATTCAGAATCAGATATCCAAATTTCTCAATTGAACGATATAATATACGTGACATTATATCTGTAATCGCGATTCACAACTGGCAAACTTTCATCTGACTCTGCACTCCTCTCTGAGTATCTCACTCAGAGAGGAGTCGCAAATGACTACTACTACTATGTGGGCTTTTTTGTGTGCTCACGGAATACTCGACCAATTGTTCCGAGTTGATACGTTGGACACAATACGCGTATAAAAGTCGCTCTTCATACATCCGGAAGAGAGTCGCAGCAGTTTCCAATTTCGCCGCGGGAGCCGCGGTATTGTCCCCGAATCGTCGTATTTTCCGTTAGCAATGGATTCGCAGACGTTCTCGCGGGTCCCGTAGCTCTTGTAAATCAACGTCCACGACAATTAAAACTTTATTCGATTAAAGTTACGTCGCAGCACGTAATGCCGACTCGAGTCGTTCATTAAGGATTAACGAAGTCGGCCGTCTTGAATGCAATATGGCAATGTAAGGCAAACGTCGCGCAGGTAGGTAGGTAGGTAGGTTTGCGAAACGCTCCTCGTAGGAAGTCCCCAACTACGGCGGCAGAGACGCGGTATTCTTGCCGGTGTTCCCTGCGGAAACTTCCGGAAGCGCGACGTTTGTCGTTCCCCCCGCAATCGTGTTTAATTAATTATCGATCGATCCGCGGACGGCGTTCAATCGTGAATACGCTCCGTCGACTGACAATGAGGACGGAGCCGGGGCGGCGGTATCGTATGAAATGACTGCGTTGGAAAAACGCAGGCTCAATAACGCGATTTATCGATCGCGCGTCGATTTCGCTGCCACATCGGCCTATTTAAGAAATTTCAAATCGGAATTCTATTAAGCGCGCCACAGACTCCTCGTCCCAGAGGTGACTGGGAGAGATACGCGCAAGTGTTTGATTCCAAGATGCTGTCTTTGTGCTGAAAATATGGAGACCGCGCGGCGCGAAGGGGCCTCGAGCGAGACCGATGGAATAGCCTTGACTCTCGGGCAGAGGAAGACGAAATCGCACGGGGAAGTGGATCGCGCTTAATCGAATCTGTATACGAAAGAAATTGTTCACTCGACGTGAAACGTGCGCGCGCGCGTGAGCACCGCCATCTCCTCTCCGTTCATTGTGTTTAAACAACTTCAATTTTCCGGCAACTCCGCCGATGCATTCGACGGGCGCGCATTATCATCGGCTGTGATGCAGCCGCATTTCGGTCACGCACCATCGGGTATTATCGTCATCATTGGCTGTGGCGGCCATTCGTGAGCTACCGAGCATGCGGAGGTAATCACAGTCTGGAGAAGCGCTTACAGAATATTGCGGCCCCCGAATGTCGTATCGTGATACATCGCATCGATAACGAACCATGGATAAATACGCGCGCGCGTATTCCGCCAAATCCGCCACTAGAAAAGGTTACTGTTATCGAACCATCGAGTACTAATTAAAAGCTTTCACGTTCACTTCACTTGCTTGTTTCATTATTCTACTCCCCTTCTCTCTTCCCTCCCCCCTCTCTCTTTCTCAATATACCTCTCTCTCTGTTTCGTTAACGAGCAATCATCGAGATAACTATCGAAAATTATATGTCGATCGAGTGGTTTGGTGTATCGAGTTAGTAATTTACTCTTGCATTATAGTTAGGTTAAAAATGTTTCTGAAGCGGGTTTTTTTTATTCTGCTTTAGATGCTTACTCCACTATTGTGGATATATGAAAATTTCTTAAACATTTCCAAGTATGTAGCGTAAATTCCAGTTAGATTATGCAAAATTGTTTCAACTAGGTGTATCGTACCGCGATATCAGTCGAGAATTCTATTTCATCCTGACTGTAGAAAATTCTTCGGGATTTAACTGGAATTTATTCCGATTTCCCAAATAATTAAAGTTGTGATTCTAATCCAAAAGCGAGAGAAAAATTGCGTAGAAAGAGTGAGAAGAAGAGAATGGACACAGAGAATAACAAAGTAGCAATTAATATTATTATAATTGTGATTCACAGAAAGATAAGATTTGTCTTTTTTCTTGATATAGACTATTGTATGGTCATTCTTATAATTTACTGACTGTTAATTATAAATAATTACGATATACTTGAGTGTTTAACGTGATGTTAAAGTTTTATATGTGAGATAAAAATATAATTTTTTTACTCAAGACATAAGTCATTTGAAGGAAAGGTTGTACAAAATACTCAAAAAGTTTCAGATATTTTGTTCAATATTAATGTAAAACAGAAACTGAAACAAAAAAAACTTTGGACAAAACATTTGGTAGAGAAAATAGAATTTGTTTTGTTTTTTCACTTAGAGTTGCATTTTTTTAAGATACACTTCTAATCCGATTATTTATAGATTTCAGAACCCATCATTTTTTGGGGAAATCTATGGATTCCAATTAGTTTCGAGAAAATTATCTATGAAGGAATTTACTGTATATTTCGATATAATATAAATAATAAACTATTTTTTAATTTTTACTAATATATAGTCTTCTACAGTTATACAGTCTTTAAATTACACCTGTAGATTATGCGTCTAATGAAGGGTTCAAAATACATGAAAGTAAAATAAAGATATATAGAAAAAGTTTCCATTGATACTCCTGTAACGATCTCTAAGATTTGTATTAATAATAGTTATTTAAAACTTGTTTTGAATGAAATTTTTAGATTTGAATTTAGATGAAAATGAGTTTTTCAGTTGGACCACAATTATACATACAAATGTCATAATAATATTATAATAATATTATAATAATAAATATTTGATAAACTTGTATCCAACAATATTATAATAATTATTATAATAATATTATAATAAGATTATAATAATAAATAATTGATAAATTTGTATCCAACTCTGAACAAAAATCTGAGTATCTCACACGAGATTTCAGATGACACCTATTGATACGGGCGTAAAAATTGTTCTATGAGAATCGCGAGAACCTGTCAGAGTCTCTATTTACTAACTCTACTAACACGATCTTTCCCTTTGCTTGCTTGCAGATTTAATGACGCCCCGCCTCTAACCCCGCAAAGAGACCCCGCCACTAACACAAATATGAACCCCTAACTAACAGCTCCGCGCGACGAACTCCAGCCATCGGCACGTTGGCGCCGCCGACGCGTCAGCGTTATTGCACTCGGCGCGGTCGTCCCGGAACGATCATGCGAATCCCCGAAAATGCGCAGAACCAGCAGCAACGGCCTGAAGCTCGACCTGACGGAGAACACGCCAGGTAGCTCGCTGTCGAGGCTGCCGAATCTGGTCGAGCATGCGGAGACCTGCCAGGCGCTGTCCGCTGGAACCGGTGAGAATTTGAGCAGCAAGTTGCCTAACGTGGTCGAGGGCTCGATGGACTATGGTAGCGAGCGCAGGTCCTCCCGTTACCTGGAGTACCAAGAGATCAAGTCCTACCAGGACCCCCAGTCGTCCGCCACGGCGGCGCCGGCCTACGAAGGGGGGCCTTACCATGATCAGTCGCGTGGCTATAGGAATTACGATCGGAAGGGCGTCGGCTTCGACCGGGAGAATCTCGAGAGGTTCGACAACCGGATCTACCCGGAGGATGGGCTGAGATACGAGCGTCGCGTAGACCAGCGTACCTACCAAGAGTCGGACCTAGACGCGCCCTACGACCGAAGCGACGCGCAGAAGCTCAGCAGAACGTACCCGGAGCTGCAGGACTCCAGCAGACGATACTCGCGCGACCTCACCGATTACGAGTACGCGTCGCGCTACGCCGAAGAGACGCTCAAGCTGGAGCCGAAGAAGGACCACCATCACCACCACCACCCGGGCAAGATTTACGAAACGGCCGGCGCCTCCAAGGGCTACGAGTCGGGCGTGAAGACTCACGATTCCGCGTACGACCTCGGCTCCTGCTCCGGACAGCAGGAGCCCACCGGCGCGAGGCAATATGAGAGCAAGTACCACTCGGTCAGCAAAATGTATGGCACTCTGCCGAGGTACGAGAGCGGCAAGTCCTATGAGCCGACCTACGAGTCCAGGTCCTTCGAGCCCAAGTACGACGAGCAGCCGTACGAGGCCGGCGGTAAGGGCTTCGAGTCCAAGTACGAGCTGACGAGCTCCAAGAGCTACGAAAGAGCCAAGTATGAGAGCACCTCGTCGGCCAGATACCAGGACAAGTCCTATGACCAGACGCTGAAGATCGGCGACCTGGGCTCGTCCTCGTCCGGTGCTTACGTGAGGAAGCACCAGGACCTGGAGGAGACCGGCGCGGAGAAGATGAACGGCTACAGGAAGAACAATTTCGAGGCCTACGGGGTTTACTCGGATCCCGAGGACGACCACGGCTTCTTGGCGGACAAGAAGGCGCCCCAGTACACTTACAAGGGCGTCGTGGTGAACGTCAGCGGGGAGTCCGCGGTGGTCGATCAGAAGCGCACCAAGGACAGCAGGCAGACCGAGGTGACGCGAAGCCCTTGGTGCAGGCCGACCATATTGTTGCTCCTGCTGGTGCTCTTGGTCGTCATCTTTGTTTTCGTCGCTGGGATTTTGTTATACTTCAATTGTGAGTTTGCACACTTTTATCACGCACATGCGACGGATTTCCTTCGCTATTGGGCTTGATGCCACTTTTGTTTCGTTGGGAGCTTGCATCTTGCTCGATTCTCGCGAGAACGTGCTTCTTCTTTGGTTCTTTGTTCAGATAAATGGCTGTTTGCCGCGGAAGTACGCTCTCTAACGCGGAGATGTGCTTCGCGAGACCGTTCTCTCTTTCTCGCGCGCGTTATTCTAACGACACTCCCCTAAGTTCTTTATATTCTTGATTAATATTGCGCGCAACAGCATTCACGGGACCGGTTTCCTCGCTCTCGTGCAAACACGAAAGTTTGCTCCAGAGCTATTACGCCTGGCGTTTAATTTTGCATCACACGACTCGCAGAATGACCACATCACCTACCGAAATCCACTTCGCATAATAATACGGTTTGTCGTGTTATGAGCTGGCCGAGTCCTTGAATGCAGTTGGAGAGAATCGCTGCGTTAAATGAATATTTTCTATCAAACTGGGGCGAAACAACCGACGCCGCGCGTTCCCCTTACTCCTTTCTGCGCAACGAAACGGACGGCACGTTATGCTGTCTCGCGCAGAGACGCGACTCGAGACGTTAAACTCGACATACCGTTTGCAGAAGTAGCGCTCTTGTCATCCCTCGAGTGTCGCGCGACGCAGAAAAAAGTTAAGCACTAAATTCCCGCGCTCCGCGTCTACTGCCACGAATAATCGTCCGTCGATTCAATTAAAGTTAATGTTTCCGGATTAACTCGGCTAATTAAGGGTAGTGTCTCACGAACGCTCGATAATTCGAATCGTGACGAGACATCGGATGTTTGAGACGGCGAGTCGCTGCTAATAAACGTCAAGTTAAGTTATTTCTTTCCTCGCTCTTACCGTCTGAGACGTTCCATTCGTCTTCATATAGGGTATCCTAGGTGCCGTGCATTTTCTTTCGACTACAAATTTCTTGGCGAACGCGTACACAGTACATTCTCCTCGACGAGTGGACCGAGAGAGTCTCTCGGGTATTCGTCTTAAATTTTTAAATTTTTCAAGCTTTACCTCGCGAAAATCTCCCCGCACATGGGATCTATATATATATATATATATATATATATATATATATATATATATATATATATATA